TGTATATACTGCTCTTAATTGTTCTAAGCCACATTTTACTCCATTTGTGTAAGGTGTGCAATTCTCTGTAAGTTTAATGCTCGCTTACATAGTGTCTAATACATTAGATATATGCTGAAAGGAGAATTTTTTGATGTTCAATGATTTCACTGTTTAGTCTGCAGCATAGAGAGACTTCCCCCCCCAATTAAAAACTACATTTTCTAGATAGATGCAGAAAGAAAAAGTTCCCAAGAATCCTCAGAACTTGTAAACGTTGAGAAATTTCAGCAGACTGGTAAATCCCTTGTTGATGGGACGTCATTGTGGTAAAGATGCCTACAAACATTGCTTGGACTTGCGTGAATCTTGCAGGATGTGTAGATATTATGAACCTTGTATTTGTCCCAACCACCTGGTGAAGGCATCAGCTCGTAGCCCCAGCTGGACACGGCCCAGGTGGTCCTCCCAGTGTTTAGTTGTTAAAAGAAACCGACTTTTCATTCCATCGTGGCAATTACTGTTGCCTATTTGATGTTAGAAGTATATAAATTGTTGAAAGAAGATGACACTGCACCTTTGCAACTTTTGAAATTTTGATTCATATAAATTTAGAGATAAAATAGGATATACAGTATATAGATTGTGTTCGTGTTAAGTAGCTGCAGGAAAATAGGACAGAGCCAACAGGGCCATTCCTTCTCCGCAGAGTAGAGTCTCAGCCATGGCACTGTATCATCCACTCTCTTAATGTTTAATGATGTGAAGCACATCCTTATAACTTCATGAGTATAGATATTAATAATGCCCTCAGTGCTCCTGGGTAAGGCATGTTATTATGCCTACAATTTTTTATTCCATTGTGTTGTTTGTTCACTCTAAGGCCATAGTAAATTTCATAGTAGTTTCCCCCCTGTAACTTTAATTTTTAAAATGTCATTAAGTTAGATGGTGAACAGTGTAGTTTAGTGTTGCAAATATCCTAGTCGGTTGCAATGGGAATTTTCTTTGAACACTGTGTAGCTAACCGTTTCTTGAATTTATGCCAAATAAAGGATGATATCATGTAATCGTGCAGAATATCATTTCTAAGGTTATCCAAAAGTGCTTGTCCCTGTTTAAGTAAGCCTTCAGATTAGTAGGGGAAGGCAGGCAAGTCCGAAGTGTGTGTTGTATGGCGGATCCTGGCAATTGAATGGTTGGCTTTAGGGTTGTGGAGTCGAGTCTGGTAAGTGGTGAGAACAATCAAAGCATCAGAGATCAGGGGACTCCAAAACGCATAATTTTTTTCTTGTTACACGAAAGGTGTTTCTAGATAGTATTGTCCGAGGTGAGGTATTGTTACAGTATGGGGTGTGCATTTTCTTTGTCTTTTCATAAATTTTTTAAAACCACTTTGATCTTTATCATGTTAGAAATATGATGGCAAATAATTGAACTTTGGAAATGAAATGCCCAATTTCTTAAAAGACAACATAGAAGTTATTATACAAATTAGTGTTTTCAGATGTTATGCACAAAACTGTTATATATATATATATATATATATATATATATATATATATATATATATATATATATATATATATATATATATATATATATATATATAAAATGTATACACACACTCATATAAATGTTGAAGAAAGTGCATATGGATGACTTCCATAATATAGTTAGTTTGATTGCTGGTAAAAGTCTTTGATCGTATTTGTAAATGTTCTCAGAAGTCGCTGGTAGACAAGAAATTTTTGAGCAACCAAGGGGAAGGTCTTCCTTTATGTTCCAGATTCACGAGGAAAATAGCAAACTGAATTTCACTTAGTTTTAATGTGCATGAAATAACCAAGGTAACTTTCAGCAAATTTTCAGCCCTTGCAGTGATAGTTTAGATGGGTAACTGATCCCAGAAAGCGAAAGTCAGATAGCACAAATTTTCATCCAGTTTGTTCAAGCAGTTTTGATATGAAGTGTAATCTTCTGCTTTTACTAATTAGCATGTACTTATTAGAACAATCTGACACAGATTGAACGTTATTCGGTGAAAAAGAAATCTAGTACTTTAGAAGCGCTACCCATTTAGAGTAATATTCATCTTGGAAATTAAGAAAAAAATGGATCTGCTTTCCCCCTGAATATACATACATGTAGCAGGGCAATAGGCTGCTACTATATAAAAAAAAATTGGATTTAAACTTAGTATAATTGTGCTAGAGTGGCTTGGTAACCACTACTCACTAGCTCTTTGGAAATGTTACATGATTTGAATCATATTTTTTGTCTTAATGTTGTTTTTACAGTTTATTCTATTGAAGAATATTGTAAATTTATAAACATGAAGGTGTAGGGGCATGATAGCCTTATTCTATTTAGATGTGTGTGGAAGCAACTATTTGCAATTTGTTGGTAACATTGAACATCCTTCTTGGCACAGAAAGGAACATATTTTCATTTAGGATCTAAATGGTTGTTAATAATGTATATCCAAATAGTTGTACAATCAATTATATCATGGTTATCC